GTGTTATAAAATTATAAAATTATATTTATTTATTATTAATTTTATATTAATAATTATTATTATTTTATTAATACTAATTTGATCAAAATTTAATCACAATTGAACTATTAAAGTTTAAATTATCATCCAAAATAATTTAATGATCGATAGGATTTTGAAAACACTAATATAATTATTCTTTCATATACGGATGCATTTCCTTCTACTAATAATACATATGTATTTAAAAAGCAAAAATTACATATGTGTCTTTTCAACTGCTAAACCATCAATTCGTTCTATATACTAAACAATTACATCTACAGCGAGTAGCCAAAACATTCATGTACTGTATACGTTCGTTCATAACAAAATAATAATGAAAGAGAAAATAAAGAAAATATAACAAAATGAAACAAAAGGAGAATATAAAATATTTTTTTTTTATTTTTACTTTTGTATGAGAAGAGAATAATAGATAAATTTTATTTTATTTAATTAGAAAGAAAAGTGAGAGAAAATATGGTAAATGATTTTATGTATACCCTTTAATATAATAATACATAAACAAGTAGATGCATAAATTAATTATTTCTCCTTTTCACTTTCTCTATTTTTTTAAAGATCGAAATGGTTTTTAAGTTTCGCGCTTTTTTTTTTTCTTTTATATTTTTCTCATTAGATAAACAATAAAGAAAACTAGTTTTTGTTTTATGTATATTTTTTTAATTTTTTCCTTCAATTAATCAAATAAAAAAGAAATAGCAACAGCTCAATTCCTTTATTAAAATAATGTGACATGCAAAGCTTACATTTTATCGTTGCATGACATGCAAAGCTTACATTTTTGTTTTTGCAGTTCTATTTTATCATTCAAAATATTAAATAGCCAAATTATATTAATTTATTTAACTGTAAAGTCTTATTACATATAGCTAAACTACGTTAATTAATTGACTGATCAGAAAAAAAAAAAAAACTACGTTAAATGTTACCAAATGCTTCATATATACAAGTGACTTTTCCCTCTTCACATATTTATCGTCGTGATTATTTTTTTTTACAATTTATTGCACAAAAATAATATTTATAAAGCTAAATTAGAAACTTATAATATTTAATGATATCAAATAAAAAAAATTATAATAGTTATTAATGAAAGTATATATACTTAACTTTTTACTAAGTTATTTAATTATTCAAAGCTAATAATAGATATTTTTGAACTTTTAATATCTGAAATACTTTTCATTTATTTAATATATTTTAAATTAAATCATAAGAGTGTTGAATTAATAAAAACAAAATTAGTAATTTATTTTTTCTCCATCCATTGTTTTACATTATTTATATAATAAATCTATGCCATCTATTTCATAATGAAGATATAAAAAATTTATTATTTAAATAATATAACTTTATAAATACCGATCACCCATCCATTTGTCACTATTTTCAAGTTCCAACATCCCAGAGGATATATATATATAT